GGTTATAACAAGATTTACAATTTTAGGCGCTCAAAAAGTTTCTTTTTTGAGCTGGTTGATCATTTACCAGACACCAATCAACTTCAATTGAAGATTTACACAAATGATTATCATATGTCCTCTAACCCGATTAATCACGAATCCACAAGCCGACTCCCTAATTTCAAATTTCAAATATCGAAACAGCTCACGCACTTTTTTTCAACACAAAAAGTTATTCCTCGAAAATTTCAAGAAAAATTTTTTACATATATTCGTAAAAAACTATTGGAGCGTTTGGATTTTATAAGATCACGTGCCCAAAAAAAAGACAAAAACAATTACACGACTAAAACTTTTTTTAATTTTTCGTATAAAAAATATAGATTTTATTTCGGAATTTACCTCCCGTGCAATCATACTCACACAGTAGGTTTACTTCCTAATACTACTGCGACTTGCTCCATTCCGGTCCCTACTATAATGTCACATCATCGTCATGCCTGTATCATACACCATAAGAATCTAGTTCTATATAGTATCTCGAAGGACAATAAAATTCCAGACTATAGTCGTTGTAAAACATTTAAAGATTTTCACGCATCTCGCCTCTACAATAGATGGACTAATAAGAAATGTTCCCAGAATTTTTCGAACCGATTGGGAATCTCTTTCACTACATCATACTACGCATATAACACCAACGTCATAGCTAGAAAAGGACTTGATTTTATTTATGGCAAAAGTTATGGGAATCTTCAATTTACTCCCAGTTCTTCTTCAAAGGTCAAGAAAAGACAAGAAGCACGTTTTAATGCTCTGGTTAGACACACTTTTCACAACGCCGAGTTGGATGACAACGCGCTTATGGAAGATAAACTTCAAGTTGCACGACATCACAAATTATTATTCCAAGAAAATCAAAGTTTTATAACTCCTATCAAACACCTTCGATATAAGAAAAGATTCGTCGTACCATCAAAAGGTTATTATACCTTCCCGATCCCTTTTCACAAACCAAGGACTATATCTGTACCTGCTATTTCGGAACCGCTTTGCAACGATAGCTCTGTCGCGTCCACATCATCTCAACATCCTCAACCCCCAGTTAACATAAACATTTGGGAGAATGTACCTGAACATTATATTCCTTTGATCCCTCCATTTCCCGTTTACGCAGGCGGTCGATTGAATCAACCTTCTCGTTTAAAAATCCATACAAGACAACTACAACCACTCGCTGTTGGCAGCGCTGGCTGGTTAGCCCTCATGAAAGAAATCTATGATGATCACATATCAACGACTAAATATAAACAAGGAAAAATCGATGCTGGAATACAATGGGAAACTTCTCCCGATCAAGGCGAATATCAGAGAGACCTTTGCAATGTTATAATGCAAGTAACGGACCACAAACATGCATATGAAAAGAAATTACTTGAAATTTCATCGTTAGTACCTCCTGAATTACCAATTGTAATTGGACCAGTCAAAAACAGCGAACGCAAAAAACGCGAAAAGCGTCATTCACAATTATTAAAAGAATTTGAACGGAAAAAGCAGGAAGATACCGATATCTTAGAGGACTTACATTCTTGGGTCATCAGAGAGGAAAACATGATTTACATGGAATACTATAGGAGTGATTATAGTCAGGCGTATCAGCCTTGTGCTCTCATGGACGATCGACCGCTTAAACGAAATGCCAGAGATAATGGCAATTTAGATATTCATTATAGCTACCATATAGCTAAAAAGGTTTGTATATTATCCGTGTCAAAGGACTCAGGAAACAGTTCCTCTACTCGTACTATTTAAGTACTTACTAGTCACTTTAATATAACCCTTATATATATAATAGTTTCTTTATGTACATGCTTTTTAGCATTTTTGTTCCTTTTTTACGTTAGATTTTTCACAACTTAAAATAGTGTAAACCATTCCACCTCTTACAGTATTTACAGGTGGCAACCCTTGTGGTTGAAAGAAAAATACGGATTTTTGCTCGTCAATAAATTGAATTTTGCTATTTATAATGTGTAGATTGCCACAACTTCTTAATATTTAGTCAGTGTCCTTTATCATTTTTTTTTCTTTCGGTTCATTGGTTCCTTTCTGGTAGGGGAGGGAATCATTCTGGTTCGTTAGATTTAAAGAAGTTCGGGTCCGTCTTCGGGGGGATGATAGCTAGAAGTAGGATAGCACGGTTACGTATATGTCCTGTTAATAGTCTGTCCGTCTTCACATAAAATAAATAAATAAATAAATAAAAGAATATTTAATTATCTGATTGATTTAAAATTTAGGTGGTTTTTGAACTAATTCTCAGTAGAATTTTGAGCCCGGAATTATTTACTGTTTTAAAAAAATCTAATCAGGGTCACTCTCGTGCCACTCAAATGTTAGTAACTATTTTTTTAAAAAAAAGTCCTTATTGGTCAGTTTTACCTGAACAAATTTAACTTTGACACTCCTACGTTCCCATCTATAGATTTAAACGATATTACTCATACTTATCAGTTAATGATGTGAAGTTACTATACGAAATTCTATGAAAAAGCTAAAGCATTAAAAACAAATTATAATACATTCTAAACAAAGGTATCTGAACAATAAACTTCAGTTATAACGAAAGTTAAAAGATTGTAATTTATCTATTTAGCATTAATTGAAACAAGTGTTGTGAAAATTTTCTTTTGAGTTATTTGGAAGAAAAACTTAATTTGCGAACTTGACTTTATACGATTTATTTATTTATATAATCAAAATTATATATTCAACTTTTGAATACAATTAGATTCTTAGAAAGGCTCAGATTCTTTTTAACACTTTAAAGCATAACTCAAAAAGTTAATAAAGAATTTAATTTGGGAAATAAAAATTTGGTTGTTGTATTAGAAATATTAGAAATATTAATGATGATAACCAATAATATTTTAAGCTTTTAACTAGAACTCTGACAATTTTATACCTGGATTAATAATAATTTTGCATTTTAAAAGAGTTTCTTAATAAAATTGTATATTAATTTCATATTTATTAAGTTTATTTTTACGAGTACTAAATAAATAAAGATTTCATGATTTATGAGTAATGAAATAGTGGTCGTTTTCGTCTAAAATCAACGTAGTAAGTGAAGAAAGTTTTACGTTTACCTTATTAAATTTTCTAAGTATATTATTAGGTATATTATTTAGTGAAAATTTTGAGTATTTTTTTTTTTTGAAAATGGATGTGTGAGAAGACTCTATCTTTGACAACATCTGAAACAAGTGTTTCCGGTGTGCATAGTAATAAAATATAAATACATTACATTTAACTTCCAATTCATAAACTATAGCGTTAATAACATCTTAATTTTAAATAATTATCAACTTGCACTTTGACAATACTTTTCTATTTTTGAAAAAAAAAATGAATAAGTTGATTATCTTTTTTTATGATTCATCTTTATATGTCAATGGCAAGATTACTGCAATGTGCCGATCAGAATCACGTGCAATTTTCGAAATTACTCCGCAATATAACCAATTAATTAGGAAATAATTTAATGTATTGTGAACTACTCATTATATTATACCCAATTTTAGATATATTCTTTAAACACCCATTAGATTTTTTGTTTAAAAATTTTTATGTGAAACAGTCTAAATTTTAAATGCACTAATAATAAAAGATATTAATAAAAGTAAAAGAATAGTACTAATAACATAGATTTTACTTATAAATGTAGAGAATAAAGATATGTAGATATGTAAGTATAACTTGTATTATATACATTTTCTAATAGTTATGGATGATATTTATTTAAGGAAGAGATTTCTAAAAGTAGAACTTTGATTATATATATCAAATAATAATGAGGCGTAATGAGGCGTGTTTCAAAAAAAATAATTAAAATTAATGGTAAGCAGAATATTATTATAATGAAGATTTTATGATAAAAGCAATTGAGAAATCTGTGTTAAGAAGAAGGAATAGTTAAACCCTTTGATAAAGCTTTTAACAGTGATTTATATCTAATAAATATTTGTAATTCAGTTATTTCTCTTCTAAATCGGAAAGTATTGATACAAAGAGGAAGCATTTAATTTAGTAAGAATTGAAGCAAATTACCAATGAATTTGTTGATGCTTTAAAGAGGAATTCAGAGGAATAAGACAGTGGTGGCAACAAAATACCCGAAATGATGAAATCAAAGTAAATAGGGAAGGTACCAAACTAAATCAAGAATTACAAAGATGTATTTGGCGACCAATTTAAGGATTTTGAAGGAAATTAAATAATAAGGGTGAAATTTTTTTGAGAATTATTTTATCGTTTTTTCTCATTTGTCTTTAAATAGCAAAAAATCTAAAAAAAACCATAAAATTCTAAAAAAAGATATAATTTGTTTTATATAAAATTATGATAATAAGATAGTGATATTGTGGATTTGATGCCACTACATTACACTACTTGTCACATTTATTAATCTTAATGTTAATGATTTTATTATCAAGAAGACAAGAACATGTAAGAAATTTAGTAATTACTAGATTAAAAAACTTATTATTTCGTATTTTCTCATTACATAATTATGGCCATAATACAGTACTATAATACAATTTATAATGCGATCCAGGTTTCTTATTTCGGGCGTTTAAAAAAAGATAAGTAAAAAAATTATACAAGCAATATCGTGAAATAACATACAAATGTGGCTATAGTTTGATAAATGGCTTATCTAATATCTAATTAAAAATAATTTTATATTCAAGAAACTTTAAAAAAAACAAGAGCACTTGTGCAGCGTGTCCTTACTTGCTATACATAGGCAATAGAATTAATAAAAAATTTAAAATTTACATACCCAACTTGAAAATTTCCTACACTCTCCACTTTTGAACTGGTTCCATTTAGAAGTTCATTTTTTATATGATCTAAATCAAATGCCTTTGTTTATAGTCAAAAAAAAATGGAGGACGTCCGCTTGATAATTCCCATAAAAGAACACCCAAGCTATAAATATTCGATTTCATGTTTCGCTCATAACTTGGATTGCGAAGATACTGTGGTTCAATATAATCTATTTTTTGGATGTATTGATGATTGAACAATAATAAATATTAACCAAGGTGTTAGAATAAACCAGATATACCAAAGAATAAATTAAAAATCTAAAAATTTTACTTACCATGAACTACTTTTTCGGAATGTAAATACATTAATCACGAGTAATACCATGTGTAATTTGTAGTCCGTAATGTAATGAGTTCGATTTTCAAATAATCCCTCAAATTTCCTTCATTAGAATATTGCAAAACTGACCATTTAAGTCTATTATATTAAAAATTAACTTTATTTGAATTAATAGATTTACAAGCGTTAACGACTAATGTTTGAATTATCAATTTTACGTAAAACTTTTTTTAAAAAAAACTATTTTAAAATTTTTTTTTTTTTAAAAAAAAAAAAATAATTTAATTTTTAAACAAATTCTATAAATTTTCGATTCTCCATTTCTAAATTACTAAATTTATTAAAATCAGAAAAATCAATAGTACCTTCCCCATTAATCTTTTCATCTACTCATCATTTCAAAATTTCATTATGAACAAGAATTTACTTATCTGTGATCGGTACCCGATTTGGGCTGATTGGTACCCATTCAACATTTTAAATATTTTTTTTTTTATTTTTGGTTAGCGATCATCAGATCACCCTAAATTTTTGTTGACTAACCCCAAACTTTATTCTTCGTACACAATTATTGTGCTTACTAAAAAAAAAAAATTAAATATTTTGATAACTTTCAATATTTTCCTTTTATCTCAATTCACAAAAAAGAAATTAAAAAATAATTTTTTTTTATTATCATATTCTCTTCGCTAATTTTATATGTCAAAAGAAACTTTTCAAATTGCAAAAAGACCAGGTTTCGGTAATAAAGGAGTACCGATAAGAGTTCGGACAAACTTCTTTGAAGTTACTAAGATACCGGACATGAAAATTATACATTATTATGTAACGATATTCCCTAAGGTCTCTCTGCGATTAAATAGGAAAGTATTTAACCATTTTTCAGAGGAAAACCAAAGAGTCCTTGGAGGCGTAAAACCAGTATTTGATGGTATGTATTCATTTTATAAAAAAAGGATATATGTTTTTTGTTACAAATATCCAAATATTGAATAATGCAAAACGAATGTAATTTATAATATAAAGATACCAAAATTGTATTATGTAATTCTTTTTTTAAAAAATTATCAATGCTATATGATGTTTAAATATATGCTTGTATTTAAAAGAAGGAAATAGATACTTACTAACTAATAACAAATGTTTGTAGGAACAAGAAATATGTTTACACACAAGTCATTACCATTTCAAGACAGTAGTTTTGACGTAAAATACGTAAAATATCTTGAATTTCATTTTTTACTTTTTTTTTTTTGACTTTTTAAATTATTAAGTTTAATTATCATAATTAGGTAGAATTAGAAGAGGACAACGCGCCCATGGGTAGTAAACGTCCATTTCGAAGATTTACAATTAGGATAAGAAAAACTAGAGATATTTTTATGGATGACCTATTCCGATTTTTACACGCAAAAGGCAATATGACCTGGAATTGCAAAAGGGGTAAGTTTTTTCTTTTTCTCTTCTTTCTTTTAATAAGAATTAATCTCATAATGGATTATAATCATATTCATGTTATAAGCAATAACGGCAATGGGCACCATTATCAGTCACGAGATTTCTATAAACCATCCTACTATACGTAATTTATTTTATACTTCGCAGGGAGCTAGACCCCTCTTTGGGGGTATAGAGGCTTGGCCAGGGTATTACCAATTAGTACGTCCTACAAGGGGCAAAATGATGATAAACATAGATTCAAGTGCTACCACTTTCTATGAAGGTGGTCCACTTATTCAGATGATTGCAAAAATATTGCGTCTTAGATCTCCAGATGATCTACGTAGAGGACTATCAGAAAGGGACCATCAAAAAATTGAAAAAATAATAAAAAATCTTAGGATAAGTGATAATCATATACCAGAAAATAGACGAAAATTTAAGATTGAAAAATTAACTCAAAGTTCAGCTTCAAATACTATGTTTAATAGAAATAAGATCAATGTGACAACCTATTTTCAAAAAGAATACAATAGACGTTTATTATACCCATTTCTTCCTTGCGTTGTTGTAGGGAAAAATTATTATCTTCCGATAGAAGTTTGTGACGTAATTCCGGTAACTACATATTCATCTGGTGATACCATATAAGAATTTTTTTTTTATCATGTTTATTTTGTATAGGGGCAACGATACATACAGAAATTGAATGAAATACAAACAGCTGAAATGTATAAATTTACTTGTCAACCTCCAAGCACTCGGGCAAATAAGATCCAGGCTGGTCTCAATATATTAGATTATCGAAATAATGAATACCTTAAACAATTCGGGATGGCAGTATCAAACAATATGACTGTGGTAAGTTTGAAATATTATTATTGCATCATAGGAATGTATCTTCAATAACACGGATTTACAGGTAAACGCTAGGATTCTCCCCACTCCAACAATTCAGTACCATCCAACATCAAGGGAGAATCGTATTGAACCAAAACACGGAGTATGGGATTTAAAAAATAAAAGAGTAGCAACAGGTGCTACCCTCGGTTCATGGTCAGTTTTAGCCTTTTCAAATGAAAGAGAATTACCTAATCAAGCTATTAAACATTTCCTGAGAGAATTAATTACTACATGTAATGATATGGGAATGGTAAGTTAAATGATATCAACCCTTTTTCGTATGAATCATTCAAGTTTCTAATCACCTATAATAGAATATCGTAATGAGGGATCCTCCTATATGTCACGTTGATCCTTCAGAAAATACTGAGGAATCACTAAAAAAAGCCTGGTTTATGGCTAAAGAAAAGGCGAGGGTTAAACCACAGCTTATTCTTTGTATTCTCCGATATAAATCAGCTTTATATGCCGAAATTAAACGTGTTAGTGATACAGTTATTGGTATCGCAACACAGTGTATCCTAAGTAATAATATTTTTAGAGGGAAAAGACAATATTATGCGAACGTTTGCCTAAAGATGAACGTTAAACTTGGAGGAGAGAATTCATTCCTTATTCCTGAACATATTAAATTTGTGGCAGATCAACCTACTATTTTGATGGGCGCTGACATTACTAATTCTTCACTTGGTAAATTGTATTTTTTTTTTTTTTTTATGTGAATTATTTTACTAATATATTTATGTTTCTCGCATATCTCTTCAGGTGATTACAAAAGTCTATCTTACGCTGCCTTATGTGGTTCTATGAATGCTAGGGCGTCACATTATATAGCGTCACTTAGAGTTCAAACCGGTCATGCCGAAATAATAGTAGATTTAGAAAATATGGTTAAAGAATTGTTAAGAACATTTTATCAAACTCATAGGTTAAAACCTAAAAAAATTTTATTTTACCGAGACGGAGTTTCAAAGAGTCGATATATAGATGTGTTAGAGAGTGAACTAACCGCAATTAAAGGTAATTGGCACATATTATTCTTAGATTTTATTCATGCTTTTCGTTAATCTATTTAATTATTACAGACGCGTGTCATAGTCTTGAGGCTAATTATAAGCCCACTATCACGTTTGTTTTGGTAAAGAAGAGACGCCACACACGTTTTTTCCCAATAGATAGACAAAATTATGATAGAACAGGAAATTGTCCTCCTGGTACCGTTATCGAAACAGACATTACACATCCGTTTGAATTTGATTTTTGTAAGTAATTAAATTTTGCATTGATATATAAATTTTGTAGCATTTCTAAATGACTTTAAATTCTTACCAGATTTATTAAGTCATGCTGGAATAATGGGGACGTCTCGTCCAACTCACTATCAAGTTTTATATGACGAAAACGAATTTGATGCAAATAGGTTAAGTCAATTTAATCTAATTATAATAATTAATTGTTATACGTAACTAATATATAATTAATAATTTAGGTTACAAACGTTAACTTATAATCTCTGTCATACTTATGCGCGTTGTACGCGTTCAGTATCTTTGGTAAGATTTTAAATTGCATTTATTATCATTATATGCAGTAAATGATAAATTTCGTATTATATTTAAATAATTTAAATAGGTACCTCCGGTATATTACGCCAACTTAGCTGCCACCAGGGCAAAACTATACTCATCCTATGACTCTGATACGGGAAAAACCACGTTTGAAGCGGTAAAGGAAGCGCTACGAAAGGTAAATTAAGAATATCTCAAATGTGAATTATTCTCAATTATCTCATTTCTATAATAAATTCCTCTTTTTAGGTTATGTACTTTATATAAAAACACCATTTTTGTAAAATAAAGTTATCAGAAATGAAATTTTTACCTTACTTTATTTTATAAAAAATATAAAAAATATGTAATCATATTTAATCCAAAAAATATATTTTAAATTTTAAATTTTATCTATTGGTTTATTTCGGGTTAAAAATATTTGTAAATGGTATTTAAACTAAAAAAAAAAAAAAAAAAAATTTTTTTGTACTGTGTTTATATCAGAGATTGGCTTTATAAAATATAATTGCCAAATTGTTACAATAGTGTTGTGTTAATAGGTAGATTTAAAACTTTATTTTATTTCTATGTATTTTTTAAATGTGTTTTAAAGTACTAAAACGATTAATAAAGAAATGCGTGTTACCAACAAAAAAAAAAAACTAAGATTCAGACACACACTCATATACAACCTAGTAGTCTTTGTTAGATTGGACCATATTACAAATTTTTATTTTTATTTTTATTTTTTTTTTATTTTAACGGTAAAAGTAGTACGTACTATCTTTTTTTTTAATTTCTTTATTTAACTTTTTTATAAAATGTGTCTTTTTTTAGGGACTATTCGGACCTTAGAAATATAGGCTTTCCGTACATGGATAGATTTTTTTTGATCATTTTATTTCTTTAACATTTGCTAATTATGCATTTTCTTTCTTTTTTTAAAAAGATAAGATATAACTGACTAATTATAATATTAATGGGTCTTTGAAGGCCGCCATGATTATGAGCACCATAAAAGACTGCGGTCCTATGTGATCCTTTTGCATTACATGTACTGTAGGACTAGAGAAACCGATAATCATTATCTTTGGTTATTTATACTTCCAAACATAATATTAAAAATATTATCTAAATGAGAAAAATCTAGTGTATATCACCGTTATATGATTTAGTTTCTCCTAAAAAGTATAGTGTGATCCGAGATCTATGAAAAGATATAAATAAGCAAAAAAAAATTGAAAAAAATAAAATAATAGAAAGAAAAGAAAAAAACTTTAATAGTTTTTAACATAATCCAAACTTTTAAAATCAATTAAATTTTTCAGAATTCCTAACAAAACAAATCAGATCGAAGTTATCCATTCCATCTATCGCAACAGCTAAAACCACTGAAAAAACTGATTGAATTAGTTAAAGGTTCTACTTGTTTTTGTTGATAAATTTTATAACGTGAAATCACGTGGCTCCAACTAAAACTACACTAAATTATTCACGGTCTTCCACTCTCCATCTCTTCTTAAACTGCTTTATCTCTGATAAGTTGCCATTTATCTCTTTCTTTACTTGCTTTCGTATTCAATTTACCATCGTACCATCTTGCAAAATGTTTGTTTAAACTCGTACCGAAATAGCCCATCCTTGAAAAATCCTCTGCTTTTATCGATACGTATTTAAATTGCTTCTCTGTTTGTACGCGGTAAAACTTTCCTAATTTAGATAATTTTTTAATAACCAATACGCCGGTAACCCGGTATGAAGTTAATATCTTAATATATATTTTTGTATATTCTAATGATCACTTTTGTATATACTTTTTGTGCTTATGGCTTATAAAGAATATATTTGACATACTAGTAAGATTACAAAAAAATCGAATAATGGAACCAGATCACCCAGTGTTTACTTTTTTATCAACAATAATAATCATCAGCTACAGTCACCTAACTTATCGCCTCTTTCAGAAACTACTTGTGAAAAGAATGGTGTAAATTAAAATTTCGCATTTTTCTTCTTGTTCTTATAGTGATCCAGTAGAATAACTACTAAGTATTATTTATAGCAATAAAATTACTCTTATATTCGGTCAGCATCACGTTTATCATATTTAAAATATCAAAGTTTACTCGTTCCATATCGAGTTTCAGATATAAGTTTCATTAAAAATTTAGTTTTCAACCCAGTTTCGAACCGTAATAAATATCAAATGATATCGTTAGGATTATTTTAACGATATCGATTAAATTTTAGGATTTATGTAAAACATCACTCTGAATAATTGCTTTTTTTTTTATTTTAAATCTGAAAACTTCCTGATATATTTTTTTAATTAAACAATATTTTTTTTTAAAAAAAAAATAAAAAGTTACTATTACAGATTATCGTTCAGGTACATATGATCATAACATACTATATTTTTAGATATTTTATTTATACTTTATAATATCATAATAAACCATTTATACTTTATATAATCTATTTATACTTTATATTATTAAAATAAGCTATTTATAAGTGTACATATAATAAAATTCGTATAAAAATCATTTATTCACATTAAATGTAATATTACAATTCTGAAAAACATTCCCATGGAGAATTTTTTTAATGGTCTCATCATTTCCGTTAATTTCTTGATTTTGTTGATCATCATTTAATTCGTTTAAATCATTTGAGTTGAGCTGCTGAAGTGGTGACCGTGATTCTAAAAAAAAAATAAAATTTTTTATACCATAAGAATTATTAGTTCATAATTTAAATCTTACCATTAAAAATTTCTAAGGCTGAAGAAAAAGAATTTGCAGTTTTTGTCATTTGACAATAATGTATCTAATGAAAAGAAAAATAATAAATATATTGTATATTACTTTTACATTAAAACCACAGGTGCAATTCTTTTCTTACCATTATAAATTAAAGAATTAATTTGCGATAATGTATTTTGCTGCAATATAGACTTGGGACGTTCATAATAAGCCAAAGAGTGAGGATTTTTATGCCGTGACACAGACATCACATCATTATCACTAATTCCTTCACTTTTTGAAATTTGAATAAAGGTTTTTTGTCCACTATGATTTGTGAACTTTCTTTTATCACAATCGATTTCAGTTATTGTTGCAATTTCTTTCATAAGTCCTTTTACCGATTTTTCTCTCATTTGAGCAGATTTGAACCAATAACCTGTAAACTCAACTATTTGAAATTAAAAGAAAGGTAAAAAAAAATAATAATTTACTACATAATAAATAATTATCTTCATTATTGTTGCAAGGTTGCAAGTAAAATGCATCTTCACAAATTGGTGGTCTTTTACTAAAATAAAGCTCATAATCTTGAATAACAGCATTATCAGCAGGTATTGAAATTACTTCAGCTTTAGAATTAGATTCACTTAAAGATCTCTAATTACACTTAGATCTATAAAATGTAACGTCAATACCACCATCCTTTCTTTTTTTAAATTGTTGTATCTTTAGATTATAATGCTCTCCACCTCGAAGAGTTAATTCAATAGTATTATGCCAAAATATGTGTCGTATAAGTCCTTTTGGTAAATCTGGTTGCATTGTGGGATGATTAATAATTTTCCTAATCTCATCTTGAGTAAAAGCATCTGCACCATGTATTTCACCTAATCCCTTATCAGTTAAAAGTTTGATCTTGCCAGTAATTGCGTTATATAATTCAGAATATATATTTTTATTTGTAATTTCTTGTGGACGAATTTTAGAATATGTGTTGATATGTCTTGCAATAGCAAATCTTGCTGATTTTATTGATTGTACTGAATATTCAGCTCCATTTTGCTGCTTACATGAAACAAAAAATAAAACAAGTTGACGCTTTAACTCTTCTTTAGAATTCACATCATCTATTTTTCCAGGTAATCCAATATTCTTACGAAAAGTTTCAAGTGCATTAGTCCAAGTACTTGTAGAATTATGTGTAGCTTTGCCACGAGCTGCTGTTTGCATACTTTTTATTTTTTCTTCAGTAGGGGCCATATATGTGAAAGTTTCTTTATTCTAAAAAAAAATCTTTAATAAAATGCAAAAAAAAAAATAAAATAAAATATTAACTGAATGAATACAAATAAATATTACTTTTGAGATTTTTGTGGTGGCATTATTATAAAAATACTAAAGAGTCAGCAAGAGAAAAAAGCACAATTTGTAAATCATTTTTTCAATATAAACAGTAAAAAATTAAACTTTTAAATAAACTTTTTTAAGCTTTTAAATGTTATGGTCAGTTCCAAACGATAATAATATTATTGTACAGGGGGCAAAATCACTTATTTTATAGGTCAATGTATGATTGGTTACTAATTTTGCCACTGACGTGGCAAAATTAAAACCAATCATACATTGACCTATACTAAAATAAGTGATATTGCTCCTCCCCTATACAATAATATATAATTAAAAGCAAATTAAAAAGGTTAAAATGTCTGGTCATACATAGTATGTTCATGTAATCATCATGTTATATGTGTATTTATCGCCCATCTAATACTCTATAAAACTTAACAGTTAATTGCATGTTTAGCTTGGGGAGCATATATAAGAGTTTTCTTTCTACAATATAATAAGTAACTAACAGATATAATAATTATTACAGTTGCAATACCACCAGTTGTTCCACCTATTATTGCTGCATGATCTGCTCCAGGTGATTTAGCTGGATAGGCTATTTTTGTATTATTTGGAGTAGTTGCAATACTACCAGATGTTCCACCTATTATTGCCGATTTAGCTGTTTTTGTAATAATTGGAGTAAAACTTTTAACCCACTTATAATTATTTTTTTCGCTCACATCAATCATATGAATCTGATCACTAAAAACATCGTCAGTAGTATGTCCTAAATAATATAATAATTTGAAGAAAAATTAAATAAACTTAATTCAAGTAAAGCAAGACTTCATCAATACAACATTCTCACCAAATGCAATAATCATATAATTTCCAACAAGAGTAGCCGTATGATCACTGAATGGTGCAGAGCTAGGTGCAGGATCGATATTAGGAAAGGACCATGTAAAGGGGTCTACTTTGGTATCTAAAACTGATATTTGATCGGGAACAGGGGATCCCATTTTGTTTATTCCTCCATAAATAATAATAAGACCATCTTGTGCTAGAAATTATTTAATCCATTTTATTAAAAATATTTATTTAAAATCTAATATATGTATTTTTAAATTTTGATATATACTTAAGACCGCTGTGTGTGAAGCTCTAAGTGATGGTTCAATTCCACTTGTACTCTATGAATAATTGAGTTGTAACAAGTTTTGTGCATTAAGTAGCAGAGAATAAAAAATTGGCATAAATACCCTTCTCCTTTACGAAATTATTTACCATATTTCTCCATGTTCCATCATTGGTATCATATATATAAATATTCCGAAACTGCGTTAATATAATAAACATACAGTCAATTAAAATAATTACGTATCTAATAATGATAAAAATAATTCAAAATAGTCGTACATTAACCCACAAACCATTTATTCTTTCGCCGATATAAGCAATTCTTCCATCTGGTAATAAGATCTCCGGAGCAAGAGAATTTGTTATATTAAATTCATACGATACTGTATTCCAGTGGGTAGTATCTATACTAATGGTCATCATATATTTATTAACATTATCAGGGTAACCATATATATATATATATGATCCATTTTTATTACAGACGGCTGATGACCATTGAACATTACTGATTACTGTACCCGGAACCCACTCTTTGTTATTAATAAATCTATAAGAAAAACTTTCTTTAGAAACTCTACAAATTAGAAAGATCGTATCTTTGTTAGGACCACAAATAGTTGATACCCCATTATAATGAGGATAAATTTGACGAGCATCGTTACTTAAATCAACTATTAGTAAAGTAGAATCCAAATTAAAAGGTATTGAAACGTCTAAATAAAAAAAATCATTGGTACCAGCAGGATATTTTTTTGTCATTCCACCAAAAAAATAAATTTTATTGTCCATATAACTTGCGGTGTGACCAATACGTCCAACAAGTGTATAAGGACTAATAATAATTAATTGAGAAAAAAAAACAAAAAAGAATATAGAATATCGAAAATACATTTAATATGTTTAAAATAACAAATTAAACACATTCATTTGGTAATATGCTACAAGTCCACAACAGTGCAAAAAAAATTTACGAGCGATAAAGTAAAAATTGAAATTCAATATAGGACTAAATATTTATGTGTTGCCTATGATTAAATAGCGAATTATTTAGCCTGTATAAGTTAGGTTTTGTTACACACTTAGCTTCTTTAGTATAGATAATGAGACATGTCATATTTGTACATGATTTGCAATCAATCATTGGATGTTGCACGCGGTTATTAGCTTTTTACTACAACTACAACGTGCTTCTGATTACGAGTACATGTAACTACTTTACCATTACGTACTACCTAACTACGTAATTATATTTTTTTTACATGACTACATGACTACGTGATATATTATGTACTCATAGTCACACCTGCATTGTAGTTGTAGTAATTAAATATATAATCTGTTGCACGTCTATCTTGGTATATAAAATGCACTATATATATTTCTGGTTGCTTACCAGAAATAATTCATTTATGTTAAAATAATATACTGTAAATTTCATATGTTTCTGTTATTTGCATTTAAATTTTAGTTTAAGACCTTGCAAATTTTAATTGTTAAGTTCTTTTATCACGGTTTAAATCATGATAATATGGAGGTAATCCAGCTGTATAATTTTGCCCTCTTAAAATTTTGGTAGTAAAACATCTAATACGGAAACGAGAACTTTCCTCTCTCACTCTCTTCTTTATCTTCACTATAGGAATGGAAACGACTCAGTTAGCAGTTCTGCGAGCCAAACCAAGTCAGAGTGAGCCTAACCGATAGGACCCCAGACTTTCAAACGAGTCACATGACGTTATACAAATTTCCAAAAAAGTAAATTGAACTGACGATCACTAAATCTAATTGTTCGGCTTGGACCTACTTCCCTCTATCCTTATTGTTATTATATTCCAGCATTTATTAATATGTTTAACTTTTATCTTACATATTTTTAGAGACAAAAAGTGAAAAATGAATAAGTTCTTATAATATTTTATTCTGGATGGATAGATTTTTTTGTTATTGTTTGATCAATAATAGTGTGATCATGTATAATTAGCCTAAGAATAATCTTTTTTCGATAATGGTAAAATATTTTTCTTTCTCAAAAATGCAACTTCCCATATATCATGTCTAGTAATTCGTGGTGCATTACAATTTACATAGAAAATTTAAATATTTTAAATTACCTTGAAAAATACATGCTTAATCCAGTATAATAAATAAACACGCTAGACTAAAATTGAATATCAAAATCCTTACATAAACTTAATTCTTTGGTTAGACTAACTATTAATGGCGCAATATAATTATTTTTTCGTCTGATTTTTCAGAAATTACTTTAGTAATTTCATTTCCTAATAATCCTAATACCAATTAAAGGTCGCAAACTAGTTTTTCAAATACAAATGAAACATTAACTAACACATCTATAGTTATTAATGAACGGCAGATAAAAAGAGTCGTATAAGTCATCAAAATTTGGTGTATTTACAGATGATGATAATTCTCTTGAAGAAGTTCGCCTATTGAAAAGGTTGATATACTTGCACATTGGAAGGCAAAATCAAAAGATCTACAATGTTCCAAGTGAACAAATGTTTAGTATAGCAGAGTAGGACCCCGAGCTATTCAGGTCCTGGTTATTTGCTTAGAATGAGCCAAAATCATGTAGATCACTTCCATTTGTGCATAATGCCGGCCAGCATTACATAGTGCGTCCCTGAAGAAATGCGTAGAGCTAATAGTAAATGTGTGCTGATCTCCTATGTATTGTATATAACGGTATCAGGACATTTCGCCGAAAGCCATTTCGCCGAAAAATAATCTCTGGCCTGAGTTATTTATAATTCTGCATAATGTTGGCCCTATTTTTCGGCGAAACGTCCTTTCGGCGAAATGGCTTTCGGCGAAATGTCCTGATACCGTATATAACTCGGGTCCTAGCAGAGTTTACAATAGATCCAACAAGAAATCTCTGAATCCAGAAAAAGTGTGCATCTCTTTGTCTTATATTAACTTGGTTCGCAGCAGGATTAATTGAAGAAGATCTTATGAACTAGTAGAATACTATAAATACAAAGTTGTTATAACTGTAAAAACATCTTAACAGACGTACCTGACTCGCTATGAAACAACAACTTTATGATCATTACTCCAAGACAATATCCCAACTTTTGTTCTTCCAAATACTTGAGTTCAGATTCTGAAATCAAATTCTTCTTATATCAACCTAACGCCTTTCTAAGATGGACACTATCTGCTGGATCTGACAATATGCTATCACCTTAAAACCACGCTCGCTTAAAACATTACCAAATATGAGAGTTTTTTTTTATGTTCCTTTTGGGAGATATAAAAATAAATTTTAAAAGCCGATCAAAACCCAGCTTTATCTTTCTTACAATACCGCGCACCAGAAAAATGTAAAATTCTTTTCTTCATTTTTCAAAGTTATATTATAATATGCGTTGTAAAGCAGGAAAAATAAAACGTTCCAAGCTATAGAATCAGCAGCAAATGAATGGAATGATGAAATGATGATGACTCCAGTGATAGATCATTTATAGGACAATATAATAATAAGTCAACTGTTTATCATGTGATAAATAATGCGTATATGTGAAATTTTATTTGTCTGCTTATATTTTATTGCTAATCGTATCTTATTCACGGAATTTATAGCCTCAAATGCTTAGATTTTTAGTTATTTTTTCCGTAAATATATCATATTCACAGAGTTCTTACAAAATTACGGATAAAACATTTTATAAGGAGGAATTATTTAAAAAACTTCAAAGAATAAAGAAATACATGGCAAAGGCATGTAATATAACGAAAATAATGAAATATTTGAAATCACAAGCTTCTAAAAAAAAATGAATTCAAATCAAGAGATATTGTAAATTATAATAAAACTTTAAAACAAAATGTTATACAAGTAATAATGTTACGTAAATTATGGATCAAATTTTAGATCAATTAAATGTATAAATTAAGTCTCTTAGTTGCTAACTATAATTAATTATTGAAACAAAAAATCGTATAATAGGTCGTTAACGTTTGTACAGTACAAATTCTTCATTCGCAACATTAAGGTGGTGATCAAACACCTAACCTATACTAATTCCTATCCTCTACCAAGGGTCTTCACTATGCTACCGAAAGGTTGAAAGATGACTTTGTCTTATCGAATTATTGGTATCATCTGAATGTGCAATCTACAAAGTCCAAGCGTCTATTAATAACTGTATTACTGTTAATTCATGCTTGTCGTTTTAAAAAGCTCTACAGTAAAAGTTTATGTTGTTAGGAGGATGAGCCGATACTTTAATAATTTATTACTTAATACTATTAGTTTTTTATACAACTAATAGTTTTTTATTCCTTTTTCATGTAAAAACAGTTTTAGATAACGGAAATAAAGAAAGTCTTTTAAGCATTTTGTTATTATTATGTTTATTATTTAAATTTTTTTATTAAAAAACTCAACAAGAATGGTGTCTACTACGAAGACGGTAGTCAACTACTGAAACAAAATCACTTTTTTCCACAAAATTTAATAATAAAGTTTTTTCAACACGCTATTTAAATTTCTTAAAAACATCCAGCGGCGATTTTATAAATCGCCATACGGTAAAAAGAATATAAATATAACAAACAAAAATAAAAAATAAATTCTCAGTATTAACAAATAACGCGTCTATTATTAACTGTATGCTATATTTAATTTATGTATATACAATGAAGTTGGTGGCTTGTGTCTGTCTCCCATTATAAGTATAGGTTGTTAATAAGTTGAAGATATATAGCAAACATGACTCGTCATGATTAAGTAGTTAAAAGCTACAATATAATCATGAGTCATCTTATGTTGAATTTTCCGATTTAACCGTACGTATTGTAACTATTGTTTGTAATATTGTTGAGTAATCGATTACAAACATTGATATCATTCATATACAAAGTTTATACAATATTTATACAATCCTTTTTCTTTTTTTTTAATATACATCTCTCTCCTATTCTTCGATCCTTTAGAAAAAAGGTAACTCAACTTTTCACACAACTAAATACTTTTTTTTCATGCGCAAATAAATACTTTTTTTTCACGCACAAACAATTTTTTCACGTCACGCAAATGAATACTTTTTTTCATGCAAATAATATCTAGGTATTATCAAATATCTCAAAACCATTTCCGGATAACATTTAATAACTTCAACCATTTCCGTAATAACGTCTGATATCTCATAACTTCAACCGGTCCGTAATGACATCATTTCACTGGTATTTATTTCTTTATTTTATTTTCCTCTTCTTGCGTTTTCTTTTCTCTTTATTCGTTTTATTTTATTACTTATTTATTCTTCTTATTTATTTATTCGTTTTTTTATATTTATTTTTTTTCCTACTTTTTGGATATTACAATGTTAAAGGATCTAGTACTGGTAGGTATTCTTTGATGTAAGAAGTGTCTAGTAGGTACATTCAAGTGGTGTATCGATTTGAGTTTCCAGTTGATCCCTGGTTTGTGTCTATGATGATGACATGCCTANATTATCAAATATCTCAAAACCATTTCCGGATAACATTTAATAACTTCAACCATTTCCGTAATAACGTCTGATATCTCATAACTTCAACCGGTCCGTAATGACATCATTTCACTGGTATTTATTTCTTTATTTTATTTTCCTCTTCTTGCGTTTTCTTTTCTCTTTATTCGTTTTATTTTATTACTTATTTATTCTTCTTATTTATTTATTCGTTTTTTTATATTTATTTTTTTTCCTACTTTTTGGATATTACAATGTTAAAGGATCTAGTACTGGTAGGTATTCTTTGATGTAAGAAGTGTCTAGTAGGTACATTCAAGTGGTGTATCGATTTGAGTTTCCAGTTGATCCCTGGTTTGTGTCTATGATGATGACATGCCTACTTAGCTTTTTGGTACATGGTAGCCAACTTTCAGGACCAGCATAGGCACTCAACAACCGATACAGTAATGGCATTTTTCACTAACTTTTGAAAAAATCTATTTTGTAGGTTATGAAGTTCGAGCTAGGGATCATGCTCTAGCTGATTTTGAGGCGTATGTGGATCAATTGATTGCTAATAGGCAGAGTCCTATTGCTCCAGCTTATTCTTACTCTGAAGGGATGTTGGGTCAATTAAGCACAGATATCTTGACTGATCCGGGAATTGATCCATACGTATTTTATTACTGTGATGATAATAATTTTGGTTGTTTGTGTGGCCATGTGCATAATTCTGTTAAGCTGGTCCATCGATGTCATAGATCATTAATTTGGTGTGCATATAATAGGTATGATGGTTGTAATTATTTGATGAGGGTTTTAAATTGGGTTCAGGATCATGTAGCTAAATTTGTTAATTATTATGATAATGGAATGTATAAGTATTAGGACTATGGTAAATTTTCATAATGCTGATTTTGAGGCAAGAGAGGAACATTGTATTTGTATCATTATTATTAATTAATTGTATTATCACAATGTTATTTTAAAATATCTAACAGAATAGACATATACTGTATATTAATTTGCGTGAGTGATAACTTTTTGAATTAAAAAAGAAAATAATAAATTGTTAAATAGAATAAATAAAAGAATTTAACAAAAAAAAAAACTTTATAAAAAAATTCTTACTTAGAAGTGAAATATGCAAAATAATTAAATTACACTTTACAGAAATAAATATCTTTGAAACGGAGGAACCCATGTTCAGGTTTACATAAAACATAAACGTTATATGGATACAATTATTGTTAATGACAAAAAATTGCTATTAAATTTTAAATTGTACATCTAAAGGAATTTGTTTGATATAGTAAGGAATAGATATTGATGAGATCTGAATTTTTGGAGTTAATATTGCTGAAAGTGAAGATGACATTAAAAATTTGGAACAATATATTGATACCTATCCGCCTAACGCCTATTAAATGGTTAGATATGAGTTTCATAAATCTTCAAAAAAAGTACATTTGTATTATTATACAATCGCGACTACTTGTAAGGATGTTTCACCTCTTTAACATCCTACCGTTAACCTTATTAAAAAAAAAAAAAGGTTATAAAAAAAAAAGTTTTTTTTTCATTTGTATAAGGTCTGCCTGCAATGAATTTGTTGAAAATAGTTAAAAATTTAATTTATCGAAATAAAATAAATAAAATGCAATTTATTTTTTAAAAGTTTATCCTTTTTTAAACGGCTCACGGTTCACGCCCTCGATGGATAGAAATCATCCGTTAATTCCGTTAATTCAAAATTTTGGTATATCGATACGTTATTTCATTGTTTTATTAATTATTCATATCCGTCCACAAAATTTTAAATGTTTCGTATCACATTAAAATCTTGTTTCTAATAAATAATTTTTTTTAATAAAAAATTGCGTAATTATTTTCGTGATTGCGTGGTACGCAGTCGTTGCACACTTCATCTTTTTACCCAACTAGTATAAAATTAAAATGTTCATTAAATTTTTAGAATTCATTTGAGGTTGTCGCTAAATATTCACTAAAATTTTAATTTAATGCACGATCTGAAATGATAATATATATCGAAAAAATTACTTACCTTAATTATTGACTTCTTAAGCGTTCAAGCGTTCTTAATAATTATTTATTCATTTCTTCTTGTTCTAGTTTCTCAAATTATAAAGAAATAACATTTTATTTAAAACATGACTTCAAATTATTCAACTAAAAAGTTTTTAATTTTCATATTTAAACAAAATATTTATTAAAAAAAGTAAAGTTTATTTATTTATATACTGTATAATTAAAATGAAATCTAAAAAGTGATGTGAATAAATTTTATGTTAATGAGAGAAATTTGTGGATTATATGTTGAAAGGTAAGAAAAAAAAAAAAAAATTTAACAACAAATGAACTGACATAGTATAAATTATTTGACATTCTTCCAAAATTTCTCAAATTAAAAACGTTAATACTCAATAAATACTATGAAAGAGTAATATATCTCAAAAATGTTAGAAATCTACATATTTAACAAAATTATGATCAAACTAAATATAAACCTCAAGTTGTTCAGGCCAAGCTGAATAAATTTTACCAAAACCACCAATGGTAATATAAGTAATATCTTTAACTATTCCGCCTAATCTTTGCAGCTCGCGAGTAACTAAACAGTCACTCTTGAACTGCAAAAATTAAGTATCACGACTATTAGTCTTTTTTCATTTAATATCGACCAGCTCGAAACCTCATTCAAGAACTCTGAGCTTGAGCTGCATTCTGAAATTTCTTTATAGCCACTATATATGTATCTGCAATTTCGAACTATTAATAAGAAGTTCAGGAGAGCCGTGAATATTGTATGAACGAAAATGTGGTTTTTGTGAAAGTTACGATTATTGAAGTTTATATGTGCAAATTGTACCATGTCGCATTCCGAAATTTCTTTGTATTGTTTCAGCATTAATATTAATGAGAATTGTGTGAAAAAAAACAGAGTTTAACCTTTTTTTTTTCAAAAAAAAAAAAAGGATTTATATTTAATACGTTGCGTAATCGTGTAACAACAACGTTAGACAAAGGAATTTAGGTTTATTCATTATATCATGTGAATTATGCAAATTCTGATTGGCTCAGATTTGAACAATATATTATATTAGATCATAGCTACGATTACTCAAAATTACTCAAAATTACAATACCCCTTGTTCGATCTAATACTGACAAAGCGAAAAAAATACCTTTTAAAATATTTACTTAAACTGCTTTCGTAATTATTTCTTTTCACGTAATTAGATACGTAAGCAGTATTATTCGGTTATTCGAATAACGCCCACTTGCTTTTAACCAAAGTTACAGGTTAACCGATTAAAGTTAAACCAATTAAAACGCTGATTATTCCAGATCATCGAATAAAGTCCTAAATGGAATATTAATTCTTCTACTGCGTTCAAAGACAATACTTTGTCGGATCATGGCAAAACTTCCTTAATATGGAAAATTATCATTTCAATAAAAATAAATAAATAATTTTTAGATTCTTTGTTTTATAAACTATTATGTTAAGCCCTTATCATTGTGTTAATCATAAGACACTATAAATTAAAACATATAAGGCAATTCTAATCGCAACAAAAGAAAATATTAATGGGCGTACAAAATAATTGTAACCAATCACTAAGCGGAATCGGAGTAAATAGGGCGGTTCTATTTGTTATACGAAAAAAAAAAAATTTTATTGTAAATGAGAATCCTAAATAGAAAATATTAATAGTAATTAAAAAATCAAGCGTTATCATCATTGCAAACATGGAAATTTATGAAAAACAACAAATTTACAAAAAGAATAGTTTGATTTTTTTCTTAAGATCATATCAATGGATTATTCTATCTAAATATCTAACGAATGAACAATATAAATAAATAAATAAATTAAATTATAGAAATTTTAAAATAAATGTACTAATAAATTCAAAGATTACCACATATGGTAATTCTAATTATAACAAAAGTATATATTAATTTTGATTTTAATATATTTGTTTGGCCAATTGTCGGAAAGTCCCTTCCAATAACCGTCGAAAATAATTGTTATTGTTTCTATTTTTGGTAATATGAGAAGGGCATGCAATACTCCTGCAATATAAAGGAAAAAAAAATTTCTTTGTTTTTCTTATATAAACCCGTGTTTTTTTTTTAAAAAAAAAAACAAAAAAAAAAAATTAGGAAAATTCCATTTTAATGATGACAACCGTAACAAAAGAGACATTCAAAATACCAAAAGGAAAGTCAGGTTATATAATTGGTCCAAGTTTTTCAAATTTAAATCGAATAAAGTACGTAATTTAATTATTTATTACTTTGTAATGATTTTTTTTATTAATTGTAAAAAAATTCTATTTCTCTTTATATTAAATAAAGAGTTAATTCAGGAGCAAATATTCAAATTAATGGAAAAAGAAACCAACCATGCCAAGCAATCATTACCGGTACCGTGGAACAACGTAAAAAGGCCATTAAATTATTACAAGAATCTTTACTTCGTTCAAATTCTTTTTCTCCAATTATAGGATTCATTTTATTGGATGAACCAAATAATAATTTTGGTTCAAAATTATTATTGTTTAATAAAATTCCTAACGATGATAATTATAGTGATTTTAAGTATAATGATGTTAAAACTTATAATAAATATACCCTTGAAATAATTCCTTCAACAACAACTTTACAACTTCCTTCTCCTAAAAATAATAAATTATCAATTAGTGGTATTTCAGGAAAACTTTATAGTTTTAATACTATATCGAAATTACATACTTGTATGAATGAAATCATTGAACAAATTACTTTTAAAAATTTCTCTCAGAAAACTTTAATTGAAAATGAATTTCGTTTAAAAATTAATTTCGGTATAGAATTATTTACGAAAATTGATCAAACTATTATAAACCTACTAGAATGGCATGAATTAAAAAGAGGCCATAAGGGGATTACTACCGCTTTTCGTCATGATATTAGTTTTTTTGATGAAAGAAAAATTGAAAAATTAAAAAGGATTTTTGGTTTTAAAGAAATTAACATGAATAATGAAGTTGAAGATAAAGAAAGATATTTAATTACTATATTATATAAAGTAAAAGACAAGAAAAATAAATTTAAATTGAGATGGAACGTAGATGAAGGTAAGATCAAATTTTTAAATTGAAAAATTTATTTTGAAAATGAAGAAATGCTCTATTCTGTTATTAAAAGTATTATCATTCTAATTACTTTAATCGTCAATTTCATTGATTACCGATTTCCTACTTTTCAATTTCTGGTTATGATCACATAGGACGTTGGAAAATAATGAAGTCAACAGAAAATATAAGTCGTCAAGCTATAATAGATATTGTATCTGGTAGAAACGAATTACCTGATTTACGTTTCTTATTGAAATCCCAACATCGTTCATCTTCTATCAACGAAAAATATTGTAATACAATCAATAATTTACAAAAATCAACAAATTTCCTCAAAAGAATAAATTCTATTAACAACAACAAAGAAAATTCGTCTAATTATAATGATAAGATGTATTTCAGGCAAGAAGATTTTGATGGAATTTTTAATTGTACAGGCATTAGACAATCTATCATCAAAAAGCAACTGATGTAAGTGATTTTAGCGATTTTTGGATTGCTTATGAAGTCTGATTATATCAAGTCCCCCTTTTTATAACTAATCCTTTTTTTTTATCCCCTCTGCTTATTTAGCAACGATAAATACCGGATAGATTTCATTTCCACTTTGCAAGATGAAGATGGCATTGAAACTTCGGAAAATACCGTCAATTTAATCAACCTTTCTTGGATTTCTTCGTCTTCTCTCAGCGAATGTGAATCCATCGCAACTATGAATCCTAATAATTCAAAATTCAGTAATTCAATTATTGAATCAATTAATTATGCTAGAAAAATTTCTAAAACAATTTGAAGTTCGATGAAAAAGCAAATCCGCGTCGTTGTGCAGACTGTGCAGCGTAAGGAATTTACGTATTGTAGTAATATGGATCATTATACCGTATTTTTTTTTTTTTTTTTTCTTATTATTTTCTTATTTTGTTATTTTGTTAACAAAATTTTTATTGTTTATTATGTTTTTCTTTTTATTATTTGTTTCATAGTTTATATTGTAAAATTTGTAGCAACAACAAATATTTGATTAATATTAAAGGAAGAATAAAGATACTTCGAATAAATGTAAAAATTTCTTCATGCCGAAATGTCAATCATCATACGATATTAGTACAGTATTGAAATGATAAATATATACTCTAAATATTTGCAACAAAATTAAGTATTGATTCAAGAAAAGCTTATATAAAGCATGATCTGACGTCAACTAATGTAAATACAACGCCGCCGTACAAATCCATAAATTATCAAATGATGAAATGATGCAAAATGACTCACGCGACTCATGAGAAATAATTCACGTGATATGACATAATTGTTCAAAAAAAAAATATAAATACGTCTCCAATTCTTTTTCGTGGTGTGTGTGTAGTGGGGGGTGTGTGTGTGTGTTGTGGGTGTGTGTTGTGAGTGTGTGGTGTGGGTGTGTGTGTAGTGGGTGTGTGTGTGTTGTGGGTGTGGGTGTTGTTGTTTGTATTCCCTCGTCTTTCCTCTCTCGTCCTTTCCCTTTCCCTTCCCCTTTCGTCCTTCCCCTTACCCTTCCCCTTTTTCCTCGAGGTCCTGATCAATAGTTGCTGCACCTCAACGTTGGTGATCAGGTGGCAACAAGTTTTTTTAAAAAAAAGACTTGGCTAAGTCAGCAACATTGTATAAATAATAACCGATGTTAAATTTTATTCACTTTTAATTATTAAATTATTCTTTATACATATACGTAGTATTTTAGAAACGATTAATTATACTCGTTCTTTTAATCTTAATTCAAAAAATTTTTATTTGATTCTTATTCAATATTATTATTCTGCTTATTAAAATAAATTAATGATCTAATTTATTTATTATTATATTTCTATCACGTACTGAAGTAATTTGGGCATCTTGTATTTGTTGCGTTAAGTGTGATATGATTGTCTGGGCGTAATGAATTTAAGGCAAAGTGAATAGTACAAACTGTAAAGTTGATAGAAATAAAACAGAATCTAAAATCTATATAAGTGTGACGTACGATAAAATTAATTATGTGTTGAAGGCGTAGTAAGTGAAGGTATAGCCATGGATTTTTCAGATTCATCATTCACGGTTCCACCAAGTGAAAAATAGGATCTCTCACCGTTGCAGTTGCATCACGTAATTTTTTTTTTAAATTTAACTTATAATATCGAATTATGATAATACTAGACTTACAATGGTTTCAAAGTATTATTTAATTTTTTAAATTAATTTATTTGAAATCGATTTATTTGCTAATAAGATAGTTGCACCATAGGAGGAATATTTCATTTTAAAAAAATTCATTGAGACCAGATTCGAACGGCCCTTTGAACATCAGACATCAGCGCCTCAATAATGGTTTGTGGCTCGGCAAACAAGAATCGAACGCGCCACTAATTTCCACCTATACTTCCGGCAAAAAAGAATTTGCTTGCCTTCCTGTATCTTTTAATGAGAAACTCTGCTTTTGTCCTTCGTTTTTCTTGCTCAAGGGCCACAATTGTCTAAGATATTTATCTATCTTTCTTTGAAATTGCTCTTCGTTACATTCCTCAGTTATGTTCCATTCCCGACAATGTTCGAATGTCGATCTGACTTAACAGAGTTGCATTGACGGTATAAAAAGGCAAGTTCAAGAATTTTTTGATTAAAAAATATAAATAAGGAATTGGTGGCGCGACTGGGATCTCTAGGATTTGTTCGTTCAAGTCTCTAGGACTAGCTACGAAGCTAGTGTTGGGGCGCATGCAATCTCTAGGATTGTCTGACGTTCAAGACTCAAGGTCGACCTAACACTTAGCCCTATTGGAGCACGGATAATCAGGATTATCTTCTGTTCAGACTCTAGGTCGATCTAGTAGGATTGAAATAAAATGGAAATTGTGAAAGTATCAGCCGTGAATATTACTAATTTACAAATTTACGCGTTTATCCTTCTTCACGATAAATATTTTCTGATCTATAAAAATTTTCAGAATCAACCAAGGGTGAGTTTAACTACACTCAGATAATACGACCGCGAAGTTGAATATTTATATAAACTGAGCTTTCCTCTTTGACTCCCAATCCAAATTTTAAATTCACTTTTACGCATTGTAATAATTTTTGCGATGAGATTTAGTGAGAATTTTCAAAACATATTCAATTTGTTGTTACGAATCATGTGGAAAATGATTTTTTTTTTTGTTAATAAACGCATTTCTTTATTAACGATTTCAACATAACAAGGTACATTAAAAGAAATACTCTCTATATACTAACTACATAGCAATAGGCTACGGATGCGTTGCTGACGCAACACTACAAAAGGGCTAATCTATGTATCTCGATAACGTCTACCTCTACGATCTCGATATGTATCTCTACTGTTCTTACTTCTACCTTTACCTCTCCCACGATAAGTCATCCATCCCTCACCTTTGTCGTCTTCAGCGTCCTCTACCTTACTCCTGTCACTTTGTTCTCCAATGATACGCCTCTTACCCTCTTTAATACAATCCGTGTCGGTTTTTGTTTTTCTTGTGATTTAGGTAACCTTGTTGAGCAAAAAGTGTTAACGTTATGGTACACTTTGAGCTTCGTCTCCTGCCGGGCTTTTTCTTGCTTGCGGGCCATTTCCATGAAAAGTTCTTCCATCTTTTTCTTCCTTTTCCTATAACAATTGGAGATTTACTATTTCCATCTTTTTTTCTTTCTTCTTCTCGAAATTGATCAATCTCTAGGACTACCTGTTCCGGTGAGGTATAATCTTTTATTGAAGTTGATGGGTTTGTGGCGGATCTTCGTCCAGTAATTCTTCCTAAATTTATTTACCGTATCAACTACCTCATCGCGATCGTCGTCTCGGTATGTCTGGCTGTGAATCTCCCCTCGTTATTGTCCACGGGCGTCAAATGTTCGTCGTGCACCAATCTCTCCGGGATTTCACCACAGGTGAGACACCTCTTTTCTTCCATGAATAATCCAAGTTCGGTCCACGTTAGCATCTGCATCCTTAGCGATAGCTGCATCTAGTTGTTCTTTATCTTTAAAATATGCTAAGAAGACCATCTTTTTCCAAAAACGGACCATTTTTCCATACTCAAAGGTATAATTCCCTTAGTGGAAAATGATTTTTAAATAATCGAATTTTCTGAATAAATCCTGTACGTTAAGGGTAAGTAAAATCCAAGTAAATTAAGTGAATTTAGTATAAACTGTCAAATTAGAATAATCCATTGTAAAAGTCAATTTGTACCTTCCCCTTTTGAAATCATCTCATGTTAAGACTGGTAGATCAACTTTATTATTGTTAATTATATTTCACTTCAAACTAATATTGAGTAGGAAAAAAAAATGAATGATAAAATATTAAATTACATCAAATTAAATTTAGTCAAAACGTATTCAATAAAATGTATCCATTTTTTGCTAAACACTAAATATTTTACCTTTTTTCTAACCTATACAAGCCACAATTGCATTAAATTCACGCGATTAATAAAATCTGAAATGACGTTTATTGTTATTAGAAAGAAAATTTGAAGAATGTTGTTTATTTGTTTATATAATCAACTTAAATTATTGGTATATTTGAATAATCAAAGATTTATATTTTAGGATTGAATGGGCCTGAAATGTCCAATCACGAAGGATAGTACAAAAATATCGGTCCTAGACTTATTGGTAGGTATTGTTTGTAAAAACCGTTTCTTGATCCAGCTCGAACATATCATATGACAAAATAAAGGAAATCTAGGAAATTTTATTCTATAGATATCCTTGAAGGGTTCTGGTATGATTAAAAGATTTTCTGATTATAGATAATTAGCGACATTTTATAAACGTCATTAAAAGCATTGATATATGTTCTTTCGATTCAACATTTTGGGGTAGTTTTTTATCATTGCAAATTAGAGGAAAAATCAATCCTATAAATAATTAATTGGCGTAAAATATTGATTTTAACTAGTTTATTTATTATATTAGATATATTAGATATCCAATTTGGCATTCATGGCTACTTGAAACGCATTGAAATGACGTAATTTAACAGATTTGACGTAATTTAACAGATTTCACGTGCTATAAATCGACGAAAAAATTCAAAGACGAGATAAAATCTATTATTATTCTTTGATTCTTTTAAAATTTAAAAAGCATTATCAGATAATGACATTGTGCTAAGTCACGTTAAAAATCTATTCGGTTTGACTACAAAATATATATATTGTCTCAACATGACTAGTCATATTATTAGTTTACGATGTAGTTTGTCTACTCATGAATAAAAATTACTCGTGTGAATAAAATTTTTTTTTCACACGGGTTTGTTGTCGCATATATAACAAAATATGACCAATTTAACATTCAATTTTTCTTTTCTTTGCTCCTTGACGAAAAAAAAAATTACTCCTTATCGTCGAGTACCAAATTTTTTCAAAACACTTATTCTTTACTAGTTCCTCTAATTTCTTTTTGGGAAAATATTTTTTTATATTTGCAAAAAGAAACTGTGGATATTTGAAGTTTCAAGCAACGGTGAGTAGTTGATTGAAAACTTTTTAAAAAATGGCAAGATTGTTAACTCTTTTATTTTGAATTAGATGCCTCATAAACTATTCATTCATCGCTCAGCCCACTGATGGCCTTTCTATTCTTTTTTTTTTTTCATTGAGTGATATATAAATCAAACCATTATCTGGCTATAAATTACGTAGATGACAAGATTTAATAGTCGCAGGCGTCGTTCAACACTCCGTATGAGTGACTCCATGTGTAAAAGACGGGAACTTCGAAGTATTTTAAGGATAGACTCTTTAAATAGGTGAGTAAGGGGAGAGATGGATTGAACCTGTGGAACTCCTTTGGCATCTCCCCTCTCCTGTAGTTACTGGGTATCAAAGCTTTTCGATGGTGACGAAGGTGAAGGTTCTGGGAAGGCTAGTATTAACCATTTTAATGGTTAAAAACGTTGGAGAACCGTCCCTTACTTCACTAGTTCCTGTTATTCAGGGGCATAGTAAGGGTGGCCAGAATCGGTTTAAACCGGAGAATTAGTCGAGATACATCTACTGTCTAATGCTCATAAGTCGTTGGGCTTGTCCTAACGCTACTTTATTCAATTTTGTAGGGAAGTGGAGTCAGGGTCCCTACCACCTAGTGTGAGAAACCATGTGTTTTCAAGGATTGCTCGTGGTAGAAACAAATACCTACGAAACGACATAATTTATGAGAGACTATTTAATGACCAAGGATCCACTGCTGTTCGGATGTTGGAACAGAGTGGCGAGGTAGGTATGTATCAGAATGTACCTTCAACTTCTGGTCAATTGACATGTTTAAGGGGTCACTTTCATATGAATCAGGAGGATGTAGATGAGTGTTATAGGAGATTTATTAGGAAATATGGTAGGGACGTTGATAAATTTATGGAAATTTTCAGGTGTAGAAGACATGTAGCAGAAGATATTATTATAAAGTATATTTAGTGTTTCTTACAATGTACTGGTCCAAAATATGGTTTAATATTAAGCAATTTTATAATAATAGAATTTAGGTGAATTTCTTTGGCAATGACTTTTATTTATTTTTAACGTGCAATATTTTCAAATGCGAAATGAGGATCTATTCTCGTGTTAGTGACTTTCTTTACTTTACTTTTTAATGTTTGGAGAATTTGAAATTATTAAATTTTTTTCTTTTGCACTTTTTGCAAATAATAAATTAATTGGTATTATTGTAAGTTTAAAATATGTTTTTTTAATTGGTAAGATAATTAACTGATAAATAAAATTAATTGATCAAAATAAAAAAAAAAAGGTTCTTGGAGTAAAAAAAAAAAAAATTTTTTTTATGGCGATTTTTGAATATTGGAAATTTCTTTAATCAGTGTATTGATCTTTATTGCTTTCGTTATTATAAATGATCGCCGGATACTATTAATAATAAAAATTCCAGAATAATAAATTATTAATGATCAAAGTACAGTATATTAACGAAACGATTTAAAAATTTTCTATCTAACATATTTTTACTCGTAAAAAATTCCAATCTAGAATTTAAAACATAAATGGAGCCGAATTCCTGATTGCCGATCATCCGGATCCGGTTTAATCGCAGAAAATCCCCTGGAATTCCACGACGATCTACGTCTGAGATCACGTTGCTAATTATTTTACACTATTAATTATAAATTTCTATTCCCATCAACTTTCGTTCATGAAGATTGAAAACATGATAATTTCCTTGTAATTCATATGCTTTTCTTTAGATTATAGGATCGAAATATATATAATCATCAATCTTTTTTTATCCATTTGGACTTTATGATCTATATAATCTTCTAAAATACTTTAAGAATTAATTTCTGCAGACCGATTTCTTTGTCACCCTTTCTCTTTCTTTATTCGTGATATATATTACTAATGAAAGATTTGTTATATAAATCTCATTTTTGTCATTCCCTCAGTTGTTTAATTCCAAATCTCGTAATAGATCACAATATAATAGAATATTTCCTTCACGTCTATTAGCTTGTGATGGAAAAGCAAGTATGCAAGTTCACGAAGGCAATATGATCGATTCATAGACCATCTACGCCATAATATAGGACTATTCAAAACCTTGAACATATGGTAGATCAAACGTTTTCTCTTAGGCATCAGAAATTCTTAGATTAACACTATATTTTTTGTTCAGAGCGTCACGAATTTTACCGGGATATCATTATATCAACATCGTGAAATGACCTTATTTTAAAGTAATAATTAGGAATAATATCAAAGAATCTTAAAGAAAAAATAATAAATTTAACTTACCATGATAAATGAATAAAAATAATTGGCATAAGAATGTTGAAATTCATATAACACCAATTAAACATTTAAATCGTATTAAGCTTGAATGGATTAAAATTAGGAATACGATAGATTGCAATATCCAATAAACTGTAATAAACCATTTGCTGCCTCCAAATATAAATTTGTTCACATGATTCATAGGATTTTCTTATCGGATATTTTACTATTCGGTATAAAATAATAAATGATTACAGTCAGCTCTCGATATAGCGAACCCTCCAGTTTTCATCTCAAATTCGCTATAAGATTATAGCGAAGAATTCAAAGAATTTAATTGTTATATAACAAGGGATATTTGACGTATTTGATTGGTTAGATGTCACGTGTTGGGAAAATTTCGAGTTCGTGACTGTATTAATATTAAAGAACATTTAATATGAAAAAAATGGACTACTTCCTAACAAATGTTAAAACTCACCGTATAGGTCGAACTTGGTGACGTAATATAAAACACATTACATTATAGATTGTAATCAGAAATTATGTAAGAATGCTCTAATAAAATCCGTTACAAATATATTAATTTATAAAGAAATAATAAATAATAAACTAAAAAAACATACCAGTAAGCAGCACGTCGGAGATTCGAAATTGGATATTTTTCTATTGCAATTCGGCGACTAGAAACAGTCTATAACAATGCTTGCAAATTTCCTGCAACATTTGCCCAGGCAAAAACTCTAAAGCGTGTGATTCTAACGAATAGGTACGCAAAAATAACGTTCAGTAGTAGTTACTACGTAATCATATATAGCGCCTCCTCAATAATGCTATAATTAATACGATATTAAAAAGATATACAATAAGATGAAGAGATTGAATATATCATACTTACGATAATTTGTAGAAATAATCGCTGGAATCCCAGTATTTCTCTTAATGACCAACTGGAATTGACCATCTCACACTTATTGGAATACTATAGGTTGAGAAACGTTAGAGAATTCAAAATTCTGAACTATCCTAAACATGTCGACAAAAAATTAATAAACCGATAAAAGGCATTACCTTTACGACCTTCATTTGTATACTATTTCAAAGAATGCTGCGATTATCTAACGTAGATGCAATATACGAAATGTCTCTTTATAATTAAAGCAAGCCCTAAGCATCGAGCTAATTTAACATTGGATGGACTAAATATATTGAATAGATCTTCATGATCTCTATCAAGAGTTGTCCATACAAAAATTTCAGAAGTGCCCGAATCGACGCGCGCAATTTCTTCACAGTGATTTACTCTAACAGCTCCATCTAACGATCCAGACCGAAAAAAAGATGAAAACCAAATCATAGAACAAACACTAGCTTGGCTAAAATAATGACGTAACATTATTATCCATTTCATCATCATTTGAGGAATCTAAATATTAATTTCATCATCTTCGCTTTCCTCTATATTAGTTGATTAAATATTTATCATCTCTAAAATACAATAAATATAAAATTTATGTTATACATTAGCACTTTATTTAAAGTACGGTATTCAAAATTATTTAATATTAACTTACCTAGCGAGCGTTACAATCACAAAATTATGACGAGACAGGCGTGAATCCTGTATAATTTCTTATTAAATTTAAGCCATGAATGAATACACTAAATTTCATAATAATATACTATGTATATATATTTTTATTTATTTATTAAATTTTAAGTCATGAATGAATAAGCAAAATCCAATAATTTTCAATAAAACTCAATTTCAACAGCTCTGGTATCAACGATAAAATTTCTAATAACATGAATTTATTGTTATTAGCAGTGATGCCTACACTGAGCCACCTGAACAACCAGAGTGCAGTCTTCTTATAGCTCCAGTCATGGAGACGCATGTCAACTAGAAGGCCGATTTTTGCGGTCTCTTGCATGTTTCGGCACATTATCAGAAAATTCTAAAAAAGAATTCTACCGTAACTTTTATTTGTTGTAGGCTTGTAACAAATGCGATTATAATCTTTAGAATATCTAATGGTACAAATACTATGTTTGATAGATATTCTTTATCTTCAAGAGGGAATTATAAAAATAAATTTTAATTTTTACTGATTAGGTCGGACCAAACCAATTTGATTTTCTTGTTTAACAAAATCCCCCAAAAATTTTGTTTTCATATTTTAAAAAAAAATTTTATATAATATTCCCCATGGGGAATCCAATTTTTAGATTTCTTCCCACATATTTTCAAAATTTTAAATAGTAAAAATTAATATAAAAAATTTTGTACCCCCCCCCCCCTCTTTTTTCAATTGAACCCTTGAAAATAAATACTTTAATAAAGACACCGAATCTATTATACTGTAAATTTAGGGGTCCAACACTGTACGCGCTGTCTCACATAGATAAGTGATGGATCAGTAAAGATAATCATTTTTTTCAAGTGACCATGGGAATTCAAAAGAATTGTTACACTATCGCATGATAAGAAAATTACTACATTGAAAATACTTATAAAAATGCAGAAACCTTTTTTTCTCTCCTATTTTTTTCTCCTTAAAGCCTAAATGATTAAATTTAGGATTTTTCGAAACTTGTATAGCCATCACAATGGCTAATTCACATTCTCTAATATATTCGTTAATATATATATTTCATAACCGTACTTCATTATTTTCCTTTATCTCATCTATCCTTTAAAAAACATTATAAGAATTTAATATAAAAAATTAAATAACGAGAGATAATCACTATTATTCGATATTACATATTACAATTTGAAAAAGATACCTTTCAAGCACCTTATGGGATGCTATTGCATCAAGAACAGTCAGGACTCGTATTAGAAACTAAGGAACGGAAGCCGCCATCAAGTCCGGAGTATAACTCATTTATTTAAGTTATTCTACGAGCGGGCGTACAACAGGACACTTTAGTGAAATTCCGAGTCTTTCGCTTTCGTTCCAATTTAAAAAACGGTGAATACGATAAGATGTTTTGAAGATTTTACGAAAAAAAAAAAAAGAATTTTATAATTTATAACGATAAGAAATAAAAAAAAAATCCGTGTTTAATTTAATGATGTCGCAATGCAATTCTTAATTCTTACTTATAGCATGATAGTATATTTCGTAACGTGTCAATCGAAGGTTCGATTGACCGGCTTTGGTTCGAGGTCGGGAAAACGTCTTCCTCCAATAAATTGGAAAAGGCATTGTTTTGTTTTAAAAAATTATTTTTTTGTTTTAATCAATAAAATTTGAACAGATAATACAGATAATATAATTTATTTAAAATACAAAATATTTTTTTGAATTGTTTTCACATGACCATGACTTTATTTGATGTCAAAAATATACACGTGGCATACATAAACCCAATAACATATATTTTTGAAGCATACGCAATATAAAAGCCATACTATACCGCAATATATATATGCGTCATTGATTTCACATGCATTGTGACAGGTGATCAGTTGTCACATATCCCTTACACGAAAAACATGAATTATGTCCGAAAGTTCCATTTCAATGGCATCATTTGTCTGCAAGTGGTCTGGTACCGTACTCATTTAGAGCAACTACGGTTTAATACCCAGAAGGATCTTGAAATTCACGTCAACATTGATTAGTCGATTTAAAGTAATTTAGGTAATAATTGAAGAGACTTGGCTTTCAAACTTAATTCTGCTACTTGGTCCAAAGTTCCTGCTCTCCTCGGACTAGTTTAATCTACACTTTAAGGCTTATATATTGCTTTTTCAAACGGTTCCGAAAAATTTGGCTTAAAAATAGTTTGATCCAATAGAGCCTGTGCATTTTGAAGTTGTTCAGCCCGTACAATCGCGTCATCTTGTTTCATAAGATTTATTTACGAGTTTAGGACCGCAAAGAAAAAAAATAACATTTCTTATTTATTAAATTCGAAGCGTAGCGTAAATTTAGTGATCATGGGATGACATAAAGATTATCTAAACATATTTTGAAATTTAGTAAATAATAAATTTAGTAAAATATAGGATTGGTGTTTGTCATCTGATCACACCCTCCTTTCTAAAGGCTGAGTGAATATCACAATGCTGCCCAGGTGATGAGTATATCACGCCGCGACGCCGCGTATTAAAATTCGATATTCATGTGATGAATAATTTGCTTCGGACTTTATACATATAACTTTTCCGTTTCTTAGTCAAAAAATATTATAAATTTATTGATTACTTTAAGAACTCAATATTATATGGTGATGGAATATATAATTTGTATGTTTATAAATTAATATGGCTACAGTATAAACTATATTGCTTACATATATTAATTTGAAGGCGAAAAAAAGTGGTGAAAGTTACGGTTTTATTTAAATAGAAGAGTCACAAAAACGTGCATGAAATCCTATTTGACTGCTGATTCGTCTCTAATTTGGATAAATGGGTTTTGTTCCTCCGTTGCAGAAAAATCCTTTATTTGGTTAATATAAACGTCATAAAAAATGTTACTAACCTCATTTTATTGAGTGGGGGTTTTTTTTTTAAAAAAAAAATTCTTTTGAATATAAATCATCTCTAGAATAATTTTTGAGAAAATTCTTAAAATTTGGGGATAAGTCGGATAAGTCGGACTTGGGGACATACAAACTATACCTTATTTTTTTCATTTGAATTTTGTTTTTATAACCGTTTTTAGTAATTTTTTGCTTATTAATCTAATCAAAAATAATCACTTATTTCTAAAAATATTTAAATATGGTAATTATGGTTATACACAAATTTCATAATAACCCTAATAAATTCTTAGAAACAAATGCACAAAATTTTCACAATAAAAGATTTGCAGTAAAAAGAAAAAAAAAAGTGACCCATATGACGCATCATAAAAAAATCATTACCTAATTTTTCGAAAAATAACATCGTTTTTTTTTCATTTTTGTAATTTATCCATTTTTTAACTAATTTATTAATTAATGAAATATAAACAATAATAATAAAAATAACTTTTATTGCAAATTCCACTTTGATTGGCATTTGTTGCTTTTGTTTTCTTTCTTTTTTGTAAATAACAATTAACCTGCGGTTCGGATTTGAAAATGATTTACACAATAACAATAACATTATTTTTCACACAATTTGGCCGTTTTGTGTAATATATAATTTTTATATAAATATTACCCCCATTTTTTCTTTTCTGACAAAAAAAAAAAAAAACTTATTCAAAATATAAATTTAAATATTTCACTCATCTTTACAATTCATTATAAAGTCAACATTACATCAATGCAGAATTATCAACCCATTTCCGCTCCTAAAACCGTCTCATACGGTTCATTTCAACAATATTCTTATTTTCCTGCGCGAGCAAATCCTTTCGCTCCACCACCTTCGAATTTCACACCGCAACCTCCAAAAGATTCTCCTAGTTCATCCGTAATTCATCCATTGCTTCCATTGCTTCACACTAATGAATTTTCCTATCGATTTCAAACTGAGTCCGATTCTTTAATCTATCAAGTTTTTTGCGAAAAGATTTCCGCAAAAATTTTAAATGAAACAATTAACAATAAATTAGAAGATGGCGAGCATATATTTTTCTATAGTCAAAGAAGTGACAACCAAATATATAAAGTAACATGCAAATTAGATACTCCGAGATTTCTGACATTATATCAAAAAAAGAATCTCGAATTCAAATTGTCCACATATTTAAGCGATTACTTCATAATTGATTATGAAACATTAGTTCAGGTCCTTTTATACTGTATTAAATAACTTCTAGATAAATGTTTTTTTAAACTGAAGAAAAATTTTTGCTTTATTAATATTAATATAATCTTTTTTTTTTTTGCACATTTATAAATTTATTAAAATAATTAAAGTAAAAAAAAAGAAAGTAAGAAATAAGATAATAATATAATTATTATTTATAAGTTGGGTGAAATAAGGAAAACTTTTTCGAGCCGGATGTTCTTTATATACGTATATATTTTCAAGAAATTTTCCCGAATTTGAAGAAAGTAAAACCATACTGTCAGTCCGGTTTTTTAAGTGTAACATTGACCATACGAGCTGGGAGTTGGAAGGATTGATTCGGATGATTAAGAAGGTCCTAACGAGAAAAAAATTAAAAAAATTTATATTTTTGCATTTTTACTTAGATAGTGTTTCAGTAGTCCTTTTTTTTTTTTTTTTTTTTTTTTTTTATTTATTATATATTGATCTTAAATTTGATTCACAACATTCTATTCGACTTAATTTAGGTCGAAAAATCGACAAAATTTCGTGAGTTATTAAAATATTTTAATAACGAATAACGAAAAAAAATTTTCGCTTTCTATTAATTCATTTGTTAGCTAGCATATATTTAATCATAGCACATTTCGATAAAAAAAAAATAAAAAAAAAATTATTTTTTTCTGAACTCTGTAAAATTCGTATGATTAAGATGTTTGAATATGCATTGTAACTAAACTAAACATTGGCTGAGCATTTATAAACATGATCGCAGTAATTAATAACATAAGATAATGCATATTAGCATACAAAATTTAACTGTATTTATATATTATTTAAACATAATTATTAAATTAAGGCGTGTACATGAATATAAGTTGTTTTGTTCATCAAGCAATTCAAGCATGTATAAGTTGAAATATGCACGTATGTGCTATTATCATGCATGCGTGAAAAGAGAATTATGTCTGAGTCTCAATGAAGTCTTTGTCTACAGAAGCAATAATCAGTGAAATAGGAAATATTAGAAGTTGATTATTAAGATCCAGCTGCAGAAGCTGATGAAATAATTGATCATATGTAAAATTTAAAAATCGATATAATAATAAAAATATTACATACTGTAAATGCGTTAATAATGTTAAAAAAAAATTTATATATGTGGCATAAGCATTAGCATATTTTTTTAGTCAATTGATCAGCTTTATTTTAATTTTAAAAAAAAATCTAATAATTTAAAAAAAAAAAAATTATTCTAATAATAATAATAATAATAATAATAATTATTGATAATGATAATGATAATAATGATAATAATGATAATAGTGATAATAATAATAATAATAATAATATAATAATAATAATAATAATAACAATAATTCTTTAATCTAAATCTTATTAATAAGGTCTCATTCTATACGCTTCTCTAAATTTATGTTCTATACGAGGTTCTAATACGGTTAACTTTTCAATTCCATTATTTTTTAAGGCTTCTTTACCTTCTTTATTTTGTTCAACAATTTTAACATATTTATTTATATAATATCTTTTATTTGGATGCCAAAAATTCCTAACCTTATTCTCAGAATGTGTCCTACCGAATTCTTTTTCTAAATCATGGATTATACATTTCCAAAGTATAGTGTCAGATGCTTTATATACATGAGCTCGACTAACGATAAAATCTTTTTCTTCATCTGTCAACGGACTTTTACATACTATTAAATAATAAATATTAGTTATCAAATTATTGATGCTGATCAACATTATTTCTCGAACTTTCGTTATCAAGACATATAGATTTTACTTACGACGCGGATCAAGATAATTTTTCCATCTGAAATTGAAAATGAATTATCAATCTCATATCAAAAAAAAAAAAGGAAAAAAAAATTATTTATATAAACTAACCGACAACATATTTGGCTTCCGGTATAATTTGGAACAAATCTACTAACCCTTGAATACCGATCACGATAACTTTTAAACTGTTCCATGTAATAGGTTATAAGCATATCACTCTATATAAAAAAAAATAAAAAAAAAATAATAATAAATTAATTAAATTTCTATTTAAAATAATAATATTATTATTATATTTAAATTAATATGCATTACTCTTTTATCGAATATCATTTCTTTTGCAGAAAAAAAAAATAAAAGGATCAAAACGAAAAAAAAAGTGAATTAAAAAAAATGTTTTAAAAAAAAAGTTTTCATACTTCATAGATTTGACCTCATATTTATTATAAAATTTATCGAGAATCTAGTCTTGATTAGTTTTGAATTTCCAAGTAAATGACAAGAAATTTTGTAAACACAAAAACAACAAGTATCAACTTCAATCTTGAATTATTCTTAAAACGTATTTCATTTAAAATTCGAAGTTACCATTTTCGATGATCGTCAAAAAAAAAAAAACGTGAACACAAAAAAAAAATAAAAGAAAAAAGAAAATAACGAATCGAATCGCGTTCATTATCATTTTTTGAACTTGAGCGATAAAAATAAATCTAAAGATTTTAAAGGTATATATATATAAGTATAATACATAGAAAGGTTCCTTTTCATTAATTAAAAAAAGTGTAATATTTAATATATGATGCTGTTTCCCGGGAAATGAAGGGGCTTAAAAAAAAATTTTGATCAACGTTACATGATCATTAATTTAGTAATTTATTTTAAAATATCGAATTTTTTATATTGATTTCACAAGTTCACTTAAGATTTTAATGTTAACTTGTTTTGAAATAAAAAGGTGCTAAATTAAAATTTTATCAGACCCTTACATCGATCGCAATCAAAGTGAAAATGCCCATTAAATGATGCCATTTATTAATATATTATGCTGTAATATCAGTCATCATCGGTTTTAATAATATTTTTGAGCATTATTTTTTATCTGTTCTTCGTCCTGAGAGGTTTTTCATGGAAATCGCAACGGAATCTACAATAATGATGTTCCTCAGCAGTCTCTACAGAAGAACTTGCTCCTTAAAAGAAGTAGATTCCTTTATAATTTACAAAAAAAAGGAAAGAAATTCTTACCAAAGAAGGACAGTAATGAAAATCAATTCTCAAAAACTTTGTATGCTTATTTTGTAGCTTTTTATAACTTTAGCTTAATCAATGTTATATTTTCATAACAACTTTTCGATAAAAAATTATTGTCGTTTGAAATATATGTAACTAGTTCACGGCAATACAATATTTTCTTTTCGTGAGTATTTGACAGATGATCTAAATTTAAGTGCGATTGTAACAATTATCATTAGCCTTTACGATTTTTTTCGATCGCTTAAGACTTTCGATTAAAATGTCGTTAAAAAATTCAAAAATTTTGAAATTTTTGGAATTATTAATTTTTGATACGAGAATTTTGATTGGGTAGGAGATTCATTTCATTATTATTACGAAAGGCTTGTTACACAATTAGCATTAGTTAAGAATTCTGCACGTATGAAGATAATGAAATAACAATTTTCTAAAACATCATAGAATTTCAAGTTATTTTTTTTTAAAAAAAAAAAAAATTCGTAAAGCAATTAACATGCCGCATGTTTTAATGACATGGCAAAAAAGAGTATAATTAATAAAATAATATGAGCGTAATAAAAAATTTATTTAATTGGTCCGAAAAATGATACAACATTTATTAGCTGTTAGCTTCGCGTCTGATACTATATTTATTACGTATATATATAAATTTTTCAATAATGTAAATAAATATATAAGAATTATATAAAATAAAAAGAAAAGCCAATTACAGGTTTATTATCTTGTTAAAAAGTTGTTGTTTGTTTACTGTATGAGGGTGAAGAAGGGGCTAAATTATTTATTGTGTTTTGTTTATTTTTCATTTTCGTTTAATATCGATGGGCGGAAAAGGCGATGCACATCCGGAATTTAAAATCCAGGATTTTTTTATGCAAACGTCTTTGTTGCTTTTGTTGCTTTTGTTGTTTTGTACTCACAAGCCTTCAGGGATTACCAAATTCGGTTTGATAAACCCTGGGCTTAACCCATTTTTCATGAATTAACCGGTTATATATTAAAATTCGGCTGCGTAAAATTTATGGCGATCATTTTCTACCACACCCCGTCACCCCGCCATGATGAACTTTGATAGTGTCTCATCTAACCTTCATATACAATAAATACCCAATTACAGGTTGACTATTATACTTTATTAAATTAAATTATTATTATTTTAAGTCCTCTTTTAAATTGGAGAATTATATTATATATACTGCGTGTATATATAAAAGAAAATGTCTCTTTTTGTTATTAAATATTTCTTTTTATTAACAGTTAACGTTAATATTTCGTTTATTAATATCAAAAATATGGGATTTCGATTGGGACAAAAGATCATCGCAGCATATAATTTAATACCATTGAAAAGATATATTATAAAAACTTTACTACACGTTCGAATTTTTCTTAGAGTTTGAAATGATATTCTGATTCAAATTGGCCATTTTGAGATTATCATTTGACGTGGATCAGGATTTGTAAATTTTTTTTTAGATATTTTTTCTTTGCGAAAGGATTCAAAATAGAAACTTTCTGATTTATATTACGCGTATAAATAATATTAATAAATCACCTCATAATTATTTAAATCTTTGAAGCACAGCCAAGATCTCAATCTTCTTTCGAGAGATCACACTGAATTCACGCCTGAATAATATAACAATATATACTTTTTTAATTTATCAAATAAAATCATATGTAATTCAAATGTAATGTGAGACGAGACTGACGAATTGATTATAATACTGATATGATGTCAGGATTGATTATCAGTATTGATTGTATATTTTCGTCTGTTCATTTTCTGTTTTTCTGATTAACGATATTTATCAATAACGTTTCTATCGAATACGTACGTGTAAAATATATGTTCACATGATTTACATAATTGTGTTACATGATTTGGTCGTTTTTCGTGTGTCAATAGTACTAACCTCAAATGGCTAAATTCTCATGATTACATGAAGTTAGTTGATTATTTTGGGGTAAAAACATCTGTTTAACCCAAATCCTAATGTGGGAATTGGTGAAGGTTTGTAACATTGGTCAGAATCTTCGTTTCATATTCTCACGAATTCCTAAAGATTCATTTTATTTTATTATTTTATTTTTTTCCTCGCCAAAATATTTTTAACCAATAAAAAGGACACTTTTTGTAGCTTACGCTACACGCACAATGGTTATGTCAACAAAAAAACCACTATGTTTTTCTTTTTAATCTTGAAATGTAAACTGAGATTCATTCTTTTCTGTGGGATTTAACTGAACCAACGCCTGAATATAATAATTGTACTTTAATATGACTTATTTAAAGTAAGTAGTAGACGGGTTATTTTAATGAGTGCTTGTAGTATATACGTATAAAGATAAAGACAGTTGTATTAACGTAATCACACTTAATAAAATTACTATATAGCAGACGGGATTAAAAACAGATGGTCTGATTAAGTACATGTAGAGAAAGTATATACTTTCTCGAGTGAATTGATTTCTTACAACTTATCAAATATATTGGCAAAGGTCTCTATGGGTCAGGAGTGGCTCCATCACAAATCTAAATTATAACTCTTGCGGGGTTGATAAGCGTCTCTTTAATTTATGTCCGTTGATGATTTCGGTAAATTTATAATTAATTATTTATATTTAATTAATTATGATACACTTTACATTCTACTGAAATAATAATTTTCGCATGATCTATGTATATCACGCTTCTAGCGCTAACCTCGGAAGTCTAAATTTCTTGCGATTGTAAGCGAAGATCTTTTTCAGTAAGTTAACTAATTTTGTGAACGAATCATTTGAATATATAACTTTTTTTTTTTTATTATATCCTTTTAATTTGAAAAGCAGTTCTGATTGGTGAGAAGATAAGCTAAATATGCCAAAGATCTCGCTCTTTTTAGGGATTAAAAGATTGTCAAGTATCATAAGGCCTAATTGAATCACGCTTGAAATATATGTTAATGGTTACTATCATTATTTATACATGTATGTTATTTAGTTTACTCTGTTTAAATTTTTGTTTTGTATTTTAACATACGTTCGATAACAAATTATCATACATTTTGGTATAATTTGGTTGTGTCTATACGACCATTTGAAAGATACGTAACGCGTTTAAAGCGCTCGTCGACATCAGGAAGCGGAGTTTGTGAGTCGCCATTTCGGCGATTGTTAGTAGGGGTGGGTTTTGGGCTGCTAGCTGGCATCTTGGCAAAATGTGTGATTTTATAAATCGAGTAAGTTTTCTTTTTTTTTAAATTTGATTATTCTGTATTTATTTCTAAGAGATAGATATATATTTATTTATTTACAAATGAAATTTAACTTCGGACAGAAAAAAAAATTAATTCAAAATTTCTAGTGACAACTCATAATTTCTACTATAATTTAAGGTAAAGGGTAAAGGAATTAAAAACTATGTAATATATAACAAAGGGTATAATTTATGACTATTATCTGCACTAAATTTGACAATTTCTGTAGAAAAGACGCGGACAGGGAAAAGGGAAGAGAAAAGACGAGGGAAAAAGGGATAGACGAGGGAAGGAATAGACGAGGGAAAAAGGAATAGACGGGGAAGAAGGGATAGACGAGGGAAGAAGAGATAGACGAGAGAAAAAGGAATAGACAAGGGGGAAGGAGAGATGATTAATCGGACACACGGTTGCTAGTTCTCTTACGAACGCAGAAACAACCACTGATAAAAAGTCGGACACAAACCATGAAATCGTGTCCATCACCGATACCTGAAATGTCTCAGAGTCAACTTCATCACCATCCCAAACTTCGTCGTCGCCGTACGCACGGTCGCTAATTCTCTAACAAACGCAGAAAATCAGTCCGAAATCGGACACACGGTCGCTAGTTCTCTAACAAATGAAGAACCAACAACTGACGGTCGCCAGTTCTCGGACAAATGACGAGATAACAAGTCAGATGGTTGCTAGTTCTCTTACGAACGCAGAACCAAAATCTTCAGTCGGACACGGTTGCTAGATCTCTAACAAACGATGAAACGTCAATAGCTTGTTGTAATTGGAGAGATCAGACCAATTTTTGAAATTTTCAAAATTAATATTAAATGTTAAAATAATTTTTTTCATTTATCTCTTTATTAATCCTAAGAATAAAATGTCAATTTTCTGGGCTTGTTTTAAGAAAAAAAAATTAAAAAAAAAATATATGTATATAAAAAAAATATTATATTTATATATTTTAAATAATAGACCAATAGTTTAATTTCTTGATGGTAGAGCAAATAATAGTAAACTATTTTGAGGTTGATTGAAGTACGATATTATACTTACTTTATGCATGATTGCATGTTCTACAGTACGTATAAGTTCATTAAT